GTTTCGGGTTTCGGGTTTAGGGTTTAGGGTTTAGGGTTTAGGGTTTAGGGTTTAGGGGTTAGGGTTTAGGGCCCTAAACCCTGGTAGTGAACCTTCAGCTTCAGCCCTGCACCGCGCCTTGCACGGCAGCTCCGGCCATCGCCGCCAAAGCCGGGGCCTGACATGGGGGCTGCCGAGCTTGGGGAGTACTTTGTTGGGGCCCTAAACCCCAAACCCTAAACCCTAAACCCCAAACCCTAAACCCTAAACCCTCCTTTTCTAAGGGGGGGATCTATTTTCGTAAAGCTCCCACAAGGCCCAACCTGGCTCAACAAGTCATGTCAGGTCGAGGGTTTCAGAACTTCGCGTCTTGGTCTTTCAGGATTCTTTGCAACACAGATTGCTCACGCGCTTTACGGCTTCTTTCGGAACGAGACTTTTCCAGGTCGCTATTGCTTGATCTGTCCTCTGTCCGTTTTTTGGGGGTCTCTGCAATAGCGAGGACGATACAGGCAACTCGAGCCCCAAACCCTCGTAAGAAAACTTACACCTTTGAAGCCTCAACCCTTCAGAATCGCCTTTGAGCGTCGTGTCCCACCTCAAGCCCGCCGATCTCCACCTGATTCCCTGGACCCCAAAAGCAAACCCCAAGCTTTCATCCCTGGGTCCTTGTACATGCTCTAACCCTGAAAGGCCTCCCGGTGGCGCCATGCGGCCCAAGTCCACACACTGTTGGACACCTCGGGAGCTGACTCGCTACTCGGGTTCTGGGCCTTCGGGCTTTGCATGCGCTTTGTGGCCACCCGCTTCGCAGTGCTCTGCGCAGCCATCTGCCTGCCCCATCTTCGCCTAAAGTATGCACTGCGCTGCGCAGCACCATGACCCTAGATAGTCTCTTAGCGAGTTGGATGAGAGCCAGCTGATCGTAACTTGATTTCCGGGTACTACAGCCTCCATTTAGCCCCCTGCATCCGACAGCAGCGACACGCAGTGACTATTTCTGCTTTAGATCTCCGAAGTTGTGGCAAAAAAAAAGGGTCAGGCAAAGTGACAACATGTGGCATGGCCAGAAAATCTTTGGCCGCGCATCTTGCCCATCTGAGGCCAGCTCTTGTCATCCATGCCCTAGTGTCCTATACGAGTATGACAGGAAAGCAAGAGGAACTGATGGAACGTGGGGCGAACGTGTGGAAGGTAGAGCGAATAAACCACGGTGCCGGCCTCGCCTGCTTGATTGCCAGGCTCTTGGGCAAGGTAACTAGGCTCGGGAGAGCAGTCCGGGGATCTTCAATCCGAAAAAGGGGCCACTTACAGCTGAGACACTGCTGATGCGGCAGCACACAACCCGCCCATGCTCTCTCGAGAGTGCTTCGACGTCTTAGGGCCACGACCCACACTGTAGTCCGAATGCTGCGCAGGGTCGGGGGCACGCCAGACCCCTAAAATAAACCCAGACCCAGTAGGATTCCCTTGTTTCTCAGGACCCAGTAAGGCACCCCTAAGTTTGGAAACCCCCATATTGAAGGATTCTGGACTACAGTGAAGTCCGCCGTGAACGGTGCTTAAGCGGTCAGTTGATTTCACACATATGCACTGGCACGGCACTGGGGGAAAAACCTCCAGGGGTAACCAGGAAGCAGTTCAGAAATCGGCAACCTGGCCTGTAGCAGCTAGTTAGCAGCGACTGGCAGAACTGCAACATACTGCAACATTGTTACGGCCCAGTGCCTCTCAGGTGCATACGCCTTATGTGCACGTTCATCGGTGGCGTGAAGTTAGCAGGCGGCACATAGCCCATTCAAGAAGTGCACTCGCACAAACTCACAACAAGCAGCAGCAACAGAACCGAGACCTCCTGTTCAGAGCCACTCACTGAATAGGCTTAGCGCCGCGGTCTCACAGCATCTCGTTCAGGATTTTGAAGTCATTGAGCGGAACGCTGCACCCGAGGCTGCTTTCGAATCGAGATTCTCAGAAAGGTTCTGCGAATACATCTCCAAAAGACTTCCCAGATCTTGGAACTGACAAGCACTAGCACCCGACTACATGCAAGCACGGCCACGTGTCCGAAAACAGCCCATGCAGCCTCTCTGAACCAAGCATAGGCAGGGAAACCTCTCCGTGGTTCAGAGTGCAGGTAAATCGAGTGCGGTGGAATCTTTGCTCTGCTTCCATCCTTGAGAGCTGGCGCCTCAACTCTGAGGGTTCTCCGAAATGGACCTTACGAAAAAAGGAAGGGGACTTCTACGATTCTGTTCGTGTGAGAGCCGTGTGACCCAGGGTGTGACTGTAAAGGCTAACCATGTTCATGTCAGAGTCGGGGCTTGAGCATAAACGCAGTAACTTAAGGGCAGCATTCTCTCAGAACTGCTGACAGTCCTCCACAAGCACGTGGAAGCACACGATCGTCATCTTCATCATCCTCTCCAGGTGCTAGATGAAGTTCTTCCTGCTGTCAACGGCTTGCTGCTCAAACTGGTAGGGTCGGATCAGCTCAAGACGTTCCAAGCCCTTCAAGGACTGGTTCTGGTCGGTGGCAAACAGGGTAATGAGCACGTCCTTGCCATATGGGTCGATCTTGTACTTGCAACGATCCACAGCCAGGAACCCTGGCATCATGTTCGAACGCGCTGTCCACACATGGCCTTCGCAGTCAACAGCTTGGATGGTGAAGTACATCATGGGCGAGAAGTCCACCTGCACATCACGGAAGGTGGTCCCCAAGGGGCTGAAGTGCTTTGGCGTTATGCGAATGCGCACACGTCCCGAATCCTTCGGCGATGATGGCTTGGATTCCTCGCTGGCGACGCTGCATGCGACGCTGCGGGCTTTTGTGGCAACCTTCTTGACCTTGTCCATGTCCGTCAGCCCCATGATGCCCGATTTGGTCTTGTCTGCCTTCACTTCGTCCAGATCTCCTCGGTTCTCAGGGCACTTCTCCTGGAGCTTCTCTTGCTTGCCATAAAGGCAGCAGCTGGCCCGCGTGACAAGGCCTGGGCTAAGAGGAGAGCCTGTCACCGAATTTGAACTCTTTTTGCTGACTCTGCGCTTCCACTGCGTTGCCTCCGATGCTGATGCATCGCTTTGCTGTGCTGACATTCCTGGTGATGAGGCCTGGATTGGCGAACTGCCACATCCAGATTGACCATCCCCAGTCACCGGCTTGTTGCGGTCCATGCTCGTCAGCAGCTGCAAGAACTCGAGGTGCGATTGGTCCAACACCGCCTTCGCGGAGCTGTAGATGCGATTGGCAACATCTCGTGCCTGGGCGTACTCTTGACTTGGCGGCTTTGTAGCTGGATCGGTGTGCTCAGCGTGCATCTTGTCGGAGCCATGATTTTGAGAGGAAGCCTGGACGCTGGCCTTGACCGTGTGACACTCGGCATTCTCCGGGAGCGAGGAGCCGTCACATGAGTCGGCCGTTGACTCAACTTCGCCTGCATCTTTGAACCATTCGGACATCTCCTCCAGCGCTTCATCGAACTTTGGTGAGCATTGCCATGCTGTCATTTTTCCTCCGTCAGCTTTGCAGCTGAGCGCATTCATCGGCCGTCTAGCACTGGCTGAGTGCTGGAGCCTGGCCTGCGTCGGAGCGTTGAAAATTGCGAGAACTGATGGTAGCACGCTTGAGGAAGCCCCTCCTCTCCTCTCAGGGATTCTGTGGGATCCTGTGGGGTCCTCTGGGATCACTTCAGGGATGCTCTGTGCAGGTGGCGGTCTCTGTGTCCTCTCGGGGCTGTTACTCTGCAAGATTATCTCCGGGGGATTGTTTGGGGTCGGCACTCGACTCATCTGTGGGATTCTTGGCGGGCACTGATCTTCGGGAGCTTCTGTGGAAAAAAACCACGGCAAAGCTTGGCTCCATGCTGCCCTCCGAACAGAGCTTGGGGGACGGGCATTCTGCGGGCCCAAACCATCGATCGCCGTCAAGATCGCGCCAGAGATGGCACCTGTCGGGGGCACTGAGGGCAGGAGCTAAACCCTAAACCCTAAACCCTAACCCCGAAACCCTTTTTGCATCCAGGTCTCTTGCAGTCAGCCGGGTAAGTGGGAAAGATCTGTTCATGTTCACCGAACCCCGAAACCCGAAACCCGAAACCTCGGATAAGCTTGGAGCACGCCCCGCTGAGGAGCACGCCAGTCAGCTCATGGCTCCGGGCCTTCGAGGAGTGGGGTTTAAGGGGCGCTTCTTCTTTGGGCGTGCATGTGGGTGGCCTTTCGGGGCTTGTAATCCTGAGGCTGCGAGGTCGGGACTCGGGACTCAGGGCTCTGGAGCTTCCAAAATCGGGTAACGGGAACCAGCACGCCACACAACCGACTAACACGTAACAAGAACGAAGGGGACCATGAAACTGGAACTGTACAGGCCACTGTACAGGCCTCCCCACAGTTTGGCGCAGTTCCTGAAACAGGTTCCTTACGTTGCTGCAACCCTGGTTCCGCTTACAGCGCATACTCCTTGAAAGGTTCAGGACGTTTAAGTTGTTCATTAAGAGAACATTCAATGCCTGAAGCCACCTGACTGCTTGTTGCACATGGCGCCGAAGAAGGAAACGAAGCCACTAGGCACGCAAAAAAAGGGCGCCTGAGCCAGCCCTCTATCTTCGCCCGCAAAAAAAAGCAAGCCACGACCCCTGACGACACAAAGCTGCCTCCAACTTGGCCCAGCACCACGCTGTGATCGCCAGATCCTGGTGGAGCTCAGGAGCCGGACTTGCAGTTTAGGGCTCCTGCACTTCAAGGGTACAGGGGCCTTGTGGCTTGACCTCCACCTTTTTCCCTCCCGCGCAAAGGGGGCAAGGACTCAGAAGCTCAAGAATCCCAACGAGTTCTGGATTCCTGATCCGGAGCTGGGGGGGGGGGGGCTCATGGGGCTCCCAGACATAAGCTGAAAGTCACGAAAACGGACGCTCCATAGGGAAGACATGGGAGCGCCGGAGTGAGCACCTGTCGTGCCGGGGCGAAGGGCAGAGCGCGCACATCAAAATGCCTCGGAAGCCTTGCCGGCGGCATTAGAAAATTCACTTCTCGCGGAAGGCGGACGCGATGCGCCACAGCACCACCGTGGTCCAGATCTGCGTCACGAAAAGCACTCCGATGAGTATCGGCAAGCAGCTCTGCAGCAACATGGTCCAATCGAACCGCAAGGCTCCATCGATCGCAAGTGGGCGAGCTTCATTGTAGGTCTGCTTGAACCAGGCGGCAAAAGAAACCCGCGCAAGGTGGAAGGCCCCACCCTGGTCCACGTAAAAGAGCCACAGGGACAAGGCGTTGATGCTCATGTGCATGCCGAGCTTCAGCAGAGCGGCATGAAACAGGGTCCTGTTCAGGCACTTCCGTCCCGCTTCGGAGGCACCGCTGCGCAGAGCAAAAATCAGCAGCACCGGAACATCCGCGACGACATGGAGCAGCAAGCTGGCCGAGATTCCGGCATAGAACTGTGGCGCGTGGTCGAAGGCGAATGCGTTCCTCAGCAAGCCAATGATCGTCACGGTGGCCCCATGGTGCACTGCCAGGTGCCACCGCAGGTTGTTCGTTGCGCCCCTGACCACCAACTCATAGAGGTACACGACCCCCACAATGTCAGCCGAGTAGCTGAGGGGCCAAAAGGAGCTCCCTATGGCCTCATCCACGCTGTAGACCCGCACATGCTCGGACAGGAACCACTCGGGGTGCGACGCAATGACCACACCCAGACCAGTCCCGACCAAGGCAGCGAGAAGGTTCAGGGACCTCTTGAGGACTTCGGCCTCAGAGTCCACCCGGTGCATCCGCCGGTACCAGGAAGCCAGCGCTGTGTGGCCGACGGCCGTGGCGGCCAGCTGGAGCACCAGGCTCGATGGCCAAGCCCAGTTGTTGGGTGGTGGGGCCGCCTCCGCGTCCACTAGGAGCTGGCACAGCTCTCGTGAGGGGCCTCGCTCCTCCATGGCCGGGGCTTCTGCGACTTCGTAAAAATCTGGGCTGTCGGCCGCCACTTCGGAGCACTTCTCCATGTCAAAACAGGCCTCCTTGCTGCAGACGGCGAACTCGCGCCCGGCAGCCGGAATGCCCACAACGGCCCGCGCGAAGGGCAGTGGCGGGTTGGCGGCCAGGAAGAGCTCGCACATCTCGTCCTCGGAGGTGAGGCCCCAGGACTTGGAGGTCTGGAAGCGCCGTAGGTCGAAGGTACACGTCCAAGAGATGACGTCGCCGCGCAGGAGCTTGAAAGGTTTGTAGATGACGGCCTGGCGGTTGAAGTCGTAGCCCCGCTGCTCGAAGATCAGGTCCGTGCGGCCACCGCGGGTTCTGTATGCTCTGAAGGAGGCGCCTGCGTAGTGCATGTGCGCCAGGGCTCCCACAACTGTGACCCCGTGAAGCGGGATCTGGCTGGTGCAGGGCACGGGGAGCACGAAGCTTTTCTCCACGAAGTGTCCCGCCGGCAAGAGGTCCTGCCACCGCCCATCCAGCCTGGAGATCTCGATGGCCTGCTCTGCCTGTCCCCAAGTCTCCTCACTGACCCACAAACGGAAGCCCGTCTGGATCTCGAAGGCCTCATGCCGGAAGTTCTCGAAGTGCGCCTCCAAGACGTAGGTGCCGGCTTCGAGCTCGATAAAGAGGCTGTTGGGCAGCACCTTCTTGGAATCGCCCAGGCCCCAGGACAGCGACACAGCGCCTGGGCTGTAGCTGGAGCACTGGTACGCCTCCGCAAAGTCCAGCTCGGGCTCCAAGGGCCCCAGGTGCATGTGGTGCAGATTTGTGACGTTCAGCACCTGCCATGCGTGGACCCGCATCCTGCAGGGCACTTGCACTTTGATGTAGCACAGGTTCGTCTGCCCCGCTGGTACCTGAAGGGTCGGGCTCAGAAGGTCCACCGCGACGCCCTGCGCAGCTGATGCTAGGATAGGCTCGGGCAGGTAGAAGTAATGCGAGGTGGTCTCCCGCAGGCCGCCGTGGTAGCGCATGCGGCGGTCGAGGCCATAGGCCGCCACGAAGTAGTTCTGCATCCAGGCGGGGCCCAGCTCCTCATCTTCGGCGTCGCAGGTCTTGGCCATGCGCCGCAGCACAGCCTTAGTGATGAAGGTGCCATTCCCAGACGGACAGTCGGTGCCGTGGTCAAGCCACACACGGCTGATGCTCTGGAGCTTCCAGTTCTGCAGCTTATCTTGGATAGGCCGCTCGAAACCATGCGAGTACATGTCAGTCACAGCAACGGAGCCACCGTCGTCCTCTTCTACTACGACCATATCTGCGCCGATCATACTTCCGACTTCCGAGATCCCAAATCCAAACCAGCCTGCGCTGGGAATCACGATGGTGAATTCAATCTCGCCCAAACTGGTCAGGATGTCATACCCTACCACGACCCCGATCTTCACAAAATGGAAGCGCTGGGGTGATGCTACCAGTGAATCAAGCCTGTCCAGCAAGCAGTGCCTGTTGTCTTCCAGTGGCAACGTGAGCCCAGTGGTCAATGAGTCCAAGCAACCGGTCGGAGCACCAGAACTCTGCACGAGGGCCACCAGTAACAACACTCCACGCGCTCCAAGGGCCGCCACGGCCATGGCACCAGCACCTTCAGCCTTGAGCCGTAAAGGCCTGCAACCCGGCATGTCTCCCTTCTGATCCAGGTCACACTATACAGGCCTTTTGAAGCTTCGATTGGAATGTTGAAGGCCAAGTTGCCCCCCCCCCCCCCCCCGTCCTGCCCTTCAAACTCGCTGCAGCGTGCAATGGCAAAGGCCGCAGCGCCGTCCAGCAATGGCCAGCCACGCCTCAGAGACTCATGGCCTCGGCCCTCCCGGCCGTGAAGCCGCCGGGAGGGCGGGCAGGGTAGGCACGTGGCGGCTTTGGCGTCACACGGTTTACGCTGCTCAGCGTGGGCTCGATATTCCCTTTTTCTTCGCTGTCATCGCGCAACAAGCGTCGCGGCCATGTTCTCCGGCAGACCATAGATTAGCACCTCGGCAACCGCAAGGGCACAGTCACAGGCACTGCAAAGCGGAAATGTAAGCGCCGCACGAGCAGCAGGATACCTGAGCTTGCCAGCTGCAGTCAGTCGAGTAGCTTAGGGCCTTGGGGCTGCCAGTCTCTGCTTGAGGCTTGGACCTATATCCCGGCCGCAAACTTCTATACAGACTTTCCTATCAACTCCGAAGATGGGAAGGTTAACCCGGGACGACGCATACGATAGTCGCCGCAGGGAAAACACCCCCTGATTACGTGTGTATCTCCTCTTCCCAAGGCATACAGCGAGCAGAAAGAGTTTAGCTAACTAAACATAGAGACTCTGTTTCCCGTACAAATAAGTTTCGAAGTGTATGGAACGAGGCGACCTGAAAAGACAAACAACTTTAACTTAGTAGAAAGAGAGCTTCCTGTTTTCATCTAGAATCTAGTTGCCCCCCCCCTCTATCGGTGAAAGGAATTTGCCTTAGGCGAATATATGTGCAGGTTGAAGCTTGCTGGAGAGCATGCCTTCTTAATTACAACCCCCCCGGCTTGGCTCGCTCCCCTATCGCTGAGAAGAGTATACGGAAACCTTGAGCAGGCCATGCGGTTTTCGCACGCGTTTCCGGCAAGGTTGCTCGCGACATGTGTCGAAAACCCAGGCATGAGAGGCTCGAAAGAACGGCATTTATGGATGGTTGGCACATGCAGCAGCTCGAAGCGGCTTCGGAAAAGGCGTTCTCATGGGTTGCTGAGTGGCCTTTAACAACAGCAGAGCGGCCGAGCGAATACGCCGCAGGTGAGACCACCCCACCTTCGGGGCCAAAAACGCCACCTGGCAGAGGCTGGCTCGTGTTTATTATGTCTTGTCTTGCCACACACACACACACACACACCTAAATGAACAGCCAACCCAGTCCATCTTGCAGGGCAACTACTGATGTCGAGCCCATGCCATGGCTCTTAAGGAACGCCTTTCTTTCGACGAGGAATTGTTGAGCTGACTCCGCAGACACGTGGGGGAACCCGTTGGCCCAAGAAGCTGCTTCAGCACAGAACCCACGACGACAACCCTAGAAAACCACCAAAACCTGCACGATGAGTTCGAGGAGCCCGGCGATTCGCAGTGCTCACTTCCCTCAAGTTGAGGCATGCGCCATGGTAGGTCTCCTTCTCTGGGTGCGGCAAGACAGAGATGAACGTGGCCTAGGGATTTCTGGGATCCAGCTCACGGGGGGGGGGGGGGGGGTTGGGATTGAAGGCTGCCACTGTTCAGGAATCTGAAGAAGCCGCGGAGAAAGCACAAGGAAGTTGGTAGGTGTCGGAGAGTTCAGGATGTCGCGTTTGGGCGAGCACGGCTCCTTTGGACGAGGGCTGGGAAGCGTCACGTCACCCCGAAGTGATCCCGAGGCCATACATGCCGAACTTGACGAGCCCGATCATTCAACCTCTGAGCCACGCCGAGCAGCGGAAATGGGAATGCCACTCGTGCTCCGTCCAAAAACGTTGCCCATGGAGATGTTCCAGCCTCGACATGTCTGATCAAAGCCCCACAAGAACGCGCACTGTACTCAAGATGAACTGCATTCCCACCTGAAAGCCAATGAAATCCTCAAACCAGTGAGCATTACAGCAAGCTCCACCCGAGTCTTTGTGGGCTCGCGTACCGAGGGCCCTGGACGTGCTACATTAGCTGCTGCTACATGTACTACACCCACGCCTGGATTGCCAGACTGGGTAGAAATGGAGCCGAGTCTCAAAAAAGGGGCCTCTTTCTAGACCTGAGAGCCACTGAGAGTCACTGAGAGCCCCTTCCTTTTGCAACCCCCTTTTTGCACATCTTCGAAAACCACCCTCGTCTGGGTGCCGGGCCGAAGTGCCAGCCGAGGGCGAAGCCTCGGTTTGGGAGGGAGGAGGCCCTTTGGAGCGTTAAGGCTGCTAGGGTCGTCGGGCGAACTTCCGGATCTGACCATTCTCTAAGGTTCCGCGTTCGGAAAGAAGAAAAGGGCTTGAGTCATGCTCAGAGCACCTGACGCCTTCCCAAACCCCGAGTTGCTTCTCACGGGCGACACGTCAACCTGCAAAGGACCACTGCAAGTCACTAACAACTGGTGCCCAGCAACCTAGGCGGCCGCCTGTGAGTAGCACATTGAGACCTCCGGCCATGCCTCCGACGAAAATGTTGATCCTGGGCCCATCTGCTGAGCTAGCAACGTGCCAGAACTAGACTCTCGCAACGCCCTGCACATGAGCGAGGCTTCTGCCTATGCAGAAAGACAAGAGCCAACGAGATGTAACGAACAGAAAAGGCCTAAAGGGCCACTTTTTGACAGAAAAGGCCCAAAGGGCTGCTTCTTGAGGCATTCGGAAGCCAAGAGACATACTCAGAGGACGAGTGCCACCTGGTGAGGGCAGGTGCATCAGCACAAAGAAAACCTGGGCCAGGGCGGGCGCGATCTAAAGTATCGGGCGGGGGGCGTGGGGGATGGGGGGGGCGTGAGGTTCTAAGGTTTGATGGCGGTTCTCTTGCAGCACACGTTCGACCCGAACAAAAAGCCCAGCATTTTGGGAAGCACACGCCGGACATACCTGAAGGTGGATCGAGTGCGGGAGAGGCACGGACTCCAGCACCATCGCGAACAGAAATGCTGCCGTGGCGGGCAGTTGCCAGTGCGCCATGCCTCGGCCGTTGATGAAGCGAAGCCCACGGAACTGCCCACATCCGCCAAGACAGGGGGCGCATGAAAGGCAGAGTTGGTTGGAAGCCGACTGTCTCTGTATCGTATGATGCAAGTACTTTGTGCCAAGGCCTCTGGCTGGCAGTCGACACGTCTACATCTGGCAGGTGCCGGAATCCCTGAATATCTCCGAACCACGCAAAGTCCTCGGACCCTCCAATTCCCCAGAACCTTTCAGCGAATGGCTCGCTTCGGCGAGGTTGTACCTCAGCTGCTGGAAAGGGAGTTTTCGCCGAAACGCTCAAAGGATGACCAAAACCACGAAAGGGATCTTGTAGCTCCACGAAGCTTAGGGCCTATAGTGCTTAAAGGAGTTCCTTCGACCCTGCTGGATGTGCTGAGCTCCGGCTGCGGGCTGCTGAGGATTTCAGGCGTCGCACGCTCTGCAAGGCTTTTGAACCGGCACCTCTGCTGGACCCGAGGCTTCAAGAAGGCTCTTGAAGATGCTCAGAGAGGCACACCCTCTCTCACTTTGCCTCACTTCAGCGGCACAAACTGGGAGTTCTTGCCCATCATGCCCGCTCGGCCGTGCTTGATGGGCTTGTAGGTGATCGAGAACTCACCCAGGTAGTGGCCGATCATCTCCGGCTTGATCTCCACGTTGATGTACTGCTTGCCGTTGTAGACACCCACCACGCTGCCGATCATCTCCGGCACGATGACCATGTTGCCTAAGTTGGCATGGTGAGTCTTGGCACAGCCCTCTTATGGTGCATGGCTCTGCATAGCACCCTGAGCAATGACTCATCCGCGTGGCGCAGGTGGGTCTTGACGGCTTCAGGCTTCTCACCGTAGGCCGTTTCTCGCTTGGCCTTGCCAGCAGCGCTGAGGGCTTCGATGTTTCCAGTGTACCGGGGTATGGGGCTGGGTTCAGCGCAGCACTCTCAATACCTTCTCTTAAGGCATTTTGGTGACTTCACTCCATGGGTCCAACCAAGTGTGCCCACTGCACGTGAACGTACCAAGCCTAGAATTTGACCCTGACACGGACCACGACCCCCTTGTGCACCGACTCCGGCGGAATGGTCGGCTTCACAACGAAAGGCGCCTTCCGAAGCTTCTTCAGCACCGTGATGGGCTTGCGCTTGATGCCGCGGCTGAACTTGCGGCGCTGCCTCGCGCAGAAGAGCTCCATGAGGTCCTGAAGGGGTTCGGGGATGTAGAGATGTTCGAAGGATAGAAGTCGGGATAATCATAGTATAACGGCACAACCAAGGCCCCAAGGACCTTTGGCCTGGCTTCAGCCGGGGGATTTAGGGTTGGGTTTGCAAGGGGTTAAGAGATTATTGCTCGAAAAGCGCTCGGAATGCTCGGAATGCAGGTTCGATTCTTGATGCCGAGTTGATAAGGCCGAAAACCCCCAAACCCCCCTCCAATTCCCCAAGACTGCTCAACTCTCAAGCCAAACATCCTGAAAGAAAAGCGAAGCCCCGGTTCGAAGTTTAGGGCTCTTCGGCTCCAGGGGGAGAAAGGCAATGCAACAGCAGCCAACTTAGAGACGTCGAAACGGGATCAGGCAAACATATGGAAGGTTGATGCCGAAACCTCGGATGGCCCTCAATCCTGGTTGCTCATGTCCAGAAGCTTGTCCAGGTCGATGCCGCGGTAGGAGTACCTCTTCCGTGATGTTCATTCGGCTAGCGGTGGTTTCAGCTTCGGGTTGAGCGTTCCTGGCCCTTCACCTGCCGAGGCTGTGGGCACTTCTTGAAGGTGCGCTTCTTGGGGGCGTCCTCTCCCTCCGCCATTGCCTGGAGTCCAAAGCTCGCAACCAGACAACATCAAGCATCAATCCTTCAAGAAACCCACAAACAAGAACACAAACCACGAGAATCCCTTTGCCTCTCTCAGCTACTGCTGCGCGCTTCTGGACCGGTTCCTCTCCGCTTGGGCCAAAACGCCGGCAGAAGTCGCCATTCCCTGTCGCCCCATGGCTTCTCGCGCCACGTGGCGCTACGTGCCCTGCTGCATTTGCATGTGGGAACCCTGGCTACCAGTGACTCAAATGAATTCCGCAAAGCCACAGCAGCCATCCACGAACGGGAAGCTCCTCATTAACGGCCACATTCCTGGCAGACACTCAAGACCCTCACTTTGCAGCGCCTGCTTCCAGCAGATGTTCTGTTCATGAGCATCAGGCGGAGTCTTTGGGCGAAACTAAGCCGTAACTAAGCCCTACAAAGCGAGCATCATGAGAATCAGCCGGGCGGGCATCAGAGCATTAGCCGCAATCTTTTGGGTGAAAGCACGCCCTACAAAGCCAGCATCATGAGCATCAGCTGGAAGCTTTTGGCGAAACTAAGCCAGCATCAGCCGAAGGCTTTGGGTGAAAGTAAGCCCTCCGAAGCGGGCGTCATGAGCATGAGCCGGAATCTTTGGGCGAAAGCCAGCACGACAAAGAGAGCATCATCAGCATCAGCCGCAGCTTTGGGCGAAACGAAGCCCTCCAAACCAGGCCTCATGAGCATCAGCGGGAAGCCTTGGGCGAAAGCAAGCCCTCCGAAGCGGGCATCATGAGCATCAGCCGGAGGCTTTGGGTGAAAGTAACCCGGGATCCTGAGCATCAGCCGAAATCTTTCGGCGAAGGCAAGACTTCCAAAGCGAGCATCATGATGCTCAGCCGCAGCTTTGGGTGAAACTAAGCCTCGGAAGCAGGCGTCATGAGCATCAGCCGGAGGCTTTGGGTGAAAGTACGCCTCCGAAGCGGGCATCATGACAGTAAGCCGCAGTAAGTTCTTTGATTTGGGAGGAAGCAAGCCCTCCAATGCGAGCATCATGAGCAGCAGCCAAAAGCTTTGGAAGCAAGGCCCTGAAGCGGGCATCAAAACATGAGGAGCATCAGCAGGAGTCTTTGGCTGAAGTGAGCCCACCGAATCGGGCGTCATGAGCAACAGCTGCAGGATATGGGTATAAGTACAAGTAGACCTCTATACCAAGCATCATGAGTGTCAGCCCCTCAAAGCTCCGAGCAGAGGCCCTTCAACTCAAGGGCTCTGAGCATCAGCCGGAAGGCCGTAGATTCAACTGTGCAGCACGTGCCGCGGCGGCTGTGTGCGGCCAAAAAGCAAATGGAACAGCACGTCCCAGAAGATGCAGACTGCAAAATTCTCTGATTTGTCAAAGACTTCCTGAAGCTGCAGGAAATTGGCAAGTCTTTGCCCAGGCTTGCAAGCTCTGTTCTTTCCTGCTGCTGGCTGCTGCCGAAAATTGCAGCCAGGTGTCGAACCACTGCAGAAAGATCACCCATCCTGCGAGGAGCTCGACTATAAACATAAACCTCAGCTCACAGAGTCAGGGCGTTCACGCTGGAGCTTCTTTGGGCTTCGGCACCATGCGTCTTTTGAGCCAGTTCTAGCAGTTCCGGCGACAAGTCACGAAACGATGGTGACGCCAACCACAAGACCAGCAGCAGCATCACCAAAGAATGGGCGGTCCAACGTGAAGCCCAAAGAGGACAGATCTCTTCTGTCCATGCATTTGCACATGAACCAAACGCCCAGAAGAGCGCCGACACCTTACTCTTGGAGCCGCTCTTCCACTGGAGGATCCAGGCCCAAAGCTGCAAATCTCTCTCTGCGCTCAAGTGGCCCATGCCCAGCCGCATGCAGGCATCCTTGCCTCAGACTTAGACATCTTTGCTTCGGGACGGGGGCCTGCTTCGGGATGGGGCCTGCTTCGGCTTTCAAGCTTCCGGGCCTGGTTTCGCTTCAGGGGCTGGAATTCATCCCCAAACCCTGCACACCCTGCACACAGCCTAAGCCATCCGCAAGCCACCACACACCGCAGTTAGCCCATGTCAGCACCTTGGTATTAACACTCCCGGTTGATCCTGAGCGGCACCGCTGGCGCCCGGTCACGTGGTTGAGGAAGAAGGGTTGTCCTGCAATGCGACTGCACTGTCCACACTGGCCACACGCCTATAGGGGATTTAGGGCTCTCTTCGGGCCGCCCCTCAAAAACTGTCCTGCGTCTATCTCAATTAACCGTCGAAGGAGCAGCCCCGTGCACTGGACCTCCCTTCAACCAGGCCTGGTTTGGCTCGGTAGCTGTTGAACACCTCCGGGATCTTGCAGGCGGGCCACGGGATCTTCCTCCACACACACCCTCATCCCGCAAGTCTCCCCGCACTAGCGCCGACAGGGTTCAAGGAAAAGCCCTCCCATACTCCGAGCATCTCAAACTGAAGCGCATTGATCCTCAAGCCACCCCCCTCTTGTTGCGGGCGGCCGGCGCATCGTGCTGGATCGCCTCCTCTTTGGTGGCATGCCAAGGTAAATTTCCTGCTCCACCAGCAATGGTTGCGTTCAGGGCCCAAAAAAAGTTGAATCCTTGACAGAAGTTCGGGTCCACAAGCAGAGTTGAAGTGACAGACCTGAGATCTGAGCTATTCAAGCCTCAGCCCTCAACGTCTTCCAACTCTTGCCACACTCGACCCAACAAAAACCCCAAGCCCGCTGGACCCCTTGTCACCCTAAACCTCAAACTTTTCACTCGACCCTACCCCACAGGCGCCAGCTGGAAACCCAGCGACACAGTGTGCCTGGATCGCCACGGATCCAACGGGCGAGCTGCAGGCCTTCATCGGCTTTTGCCATTCACACAAAGTGCGGCCCCACATGCACTTTCCCCACTTTCGGACTTCTTCGGGCTTCAGGTTGGGACTTTTGCGGCCCGCCCAAGAGCTCTTCTTGCAGTACAGGCAGGTCTGGGGCACCCGGCCCAGGCCAAGGCAAACTTCGTTGAACAACGCCTGCACAGCAAGCACGGGTGGGCCTTTTGACCGACATCGGGCTGCGCTAAAACCCTCAAGGGGCAGTGACTTGGGAGCACAATAGCACGCCACCAACCGGGCAGGCCCCTCCAAAGTGCCATCTCTCCAAGAACCCTTTGGTTCCGGTGCTCCGAAGAGCGGGACACAGTCCTGCGAAACGAAGAAGAAGGGCAGTCGGACGAAGATACCTTGGGCCAGCAGGGCGGCGTCGGTAAATCTCTGACGCTTCGGGCGAAGCTGGAACACAAGCCTCGATTCTCTCAGAGCACAGCCAAGGGGCTCGCCTTGCCCTCCGCCTGCCCCAAAAAGCTCCACAAGCTCAAAGGGTCAAGGATCCCCCCCGCCCCCCAACGCACACGGAAAGCGCTTTTTTGAGGGGGCCTTTGAAAGGGTGCGAATCGATGCCGTTTTTGGCAAGACAGGCTCCGGTAGCGCGACAGCACCCGCAACCCCCGAGCTCCCAAGGCACAATCCTGAGTAGAGTTCACCAGAATGCCCAGCGTTCAGACGGGTCATGAATGAAGTCTTGGGCATCCCAAACCATGGCCGCCTGCTCAGGCTCGAAACAACCAAGCCCCAAACTCCCAAACTCCCCAGCACCCAAAACCCCCCAAAACAACCCCCCCAAACGCTGCCTCCGAGTAGAAGCTGGGACTGCTGCCGACCGCCAGCCCGCAGAGGCTCACGCAGGCACAGCCCAGGAGATGCCCCACGAGGACCACCGTGGGGCCTGGTGCTTTTGGTGCGCTTGCTGGTGGCTCCGCCCCTTCCGAAACACCCTGAAAATCGACATAAAGCGACCCAAAAAACCTCCAGAGCCCTACGAGTACGCAAAGAAACCCCTTCAAGAGAGTACGTGAACCTACACCAAAACAAAGCCTTGCTGAGGGCCCGGCTGATGTTCTCGGACTTAGCAGCCGAAGCCTGCCAGCAAAGCTTGGAAACAGCCGGCAGGGGGACTTGGCAGTGGGTTTAGGGGTTAGGGTTTACGGTTTAGGGTTTAGGCGGTTTAGGGTTTAGGGCTTAAGGTTGAGGGTTTACACTGTCGCCCCAAACTTAAGGAATCCGCTGGAGGCCTTCTTCTCCTTCTCCTCCTTCTTGCCATCTCGCTTCGCACGCTTCATTCTCTTAGGGGTTTCGGGTTCGGGCTTTGATAAAGTGTCACCTTGCTCGCCTTCGGATGAGGTTACAGGTGAGCGCCCTTTGTCAGCTGGGCGACTGCTGCTCTCGTTCATGCGCTACACTGTGGATTTGAGCTGTTTGAGCTTCGCTGCAAAGTTCCAGAGTACACAGCAAGCAACATCAGCAGCTGGGGGCCTTCTTGCCTTCTGCTTTTCAGCGGCCACGTATCAACGTAAGAACATGGAGCGAGGACCCAAAGGGCCCCTTGCCAAACCCTGTACACTATCATCTCCCTGGAGCTGAACTCTGAAACCAAACCCAGTGAAGATGAGACCTGATCTGCTCTGCTGGGGTTCTTGGCGCGAGCAGCTTGGCAAACCTGAGACCACGCGAGCCCTCCACGCTGCCGCAACGGCCCCAGTGAAGGCCTGAGCGCCCAACGCCCACACGATGCGAGACACGGGCCGCGTGCCGAACTCGGGGAGCCTCAGTGGGTTGAACAAGGCTTCGTTGAAGATTCGATTTTGAACAACATCGTCGCTGTTGTGCAGGACGTTTGATCTCAGCAACCTCGCACACCCAAAACAGGACGCTTACATGAATTTGGTGAACCTGCAACCTCCAATGCGCACTCTAAAGCAACTTGGGCCATCGGCCCTGAAGCCATGAAGCTCTTATCCTGGCACATGCTGTCGTAGCTTCATAGAAGCCAATGAGGCTGCTGCTGGAGCTGCACAGTCTCACCCAACGCTTGCAACCTCGAGGTCTCCGGCTTCAGCTTCGGGGTTGGTCGTTAGGATGCCTTGGGCTTACTTTGTTAAGGTGGTGTCGCACTAGTCTGGGCATAGATCCGGGAGCTTAGAGTTAAGACGTTAAGACCCGCGTTGCAAGGGGCGCAAACCCCTGGAAGTCTCTGCACTTCACAACCTGCAGTTCGCAACCTTCGATCCTTTCTGCCGGAGCTCGCCCTCATGCGGTCGGACCCTTCAAAGCTGTTGCTCAAAGGCCCACAAGCTGACCTAGTCCGCGATGTCCGTGACGAAACTCCGACGACCTCCTACGAACGCCGCATACACCAAAGTCCCGAAGCTGCCGACGGTGCCCATGTGATGTGCCTCGCTAGCCATAGATTTGCAGCCAACGCCGGAGCCCATCCACGGCTCGTGCAGGCTGCGCTGCGGGGCAGCCGGAGGCTTTGATCAGGTCTGCGAGCAACCTGGGCTTGAGAGCTTGGCTTCGGGCAGCGTCAATTCTGAGATTGTAGGGCCCTGTCTGTTTCAGTTCAAAAGCTTTCAGTTCAAACGTGGTGTAGCTGGGCAACGACCTCACGAAAGTAACGGACTCCTGCAGTGGCATCTTGTGCAGGGGTGGCACATGAATGAAGATGCTAGGGATCAAGGCGCCAGGGCAACGCAAGCGGCGGTGCTCTCGAACCGAGTACAGGGTGCGATAATAGATCTCATTGCAGAAGAAGTCCCCAGCGTCTCTGCTCCAGAGTTCGTGAGGGTTGTTTGTATTCAGGGCAACCGCCCCAAGGTCACCGGTGGTCGGCAGCAGTTCGGGGCCTGCACTGGCAACCTTCCCCTTGTGCAAGGCACGCTTGTTGGCAGCCATGGTCTCTAGCTTCAAACCTTTGGCCTCATCCTCGAAGCCCAGGTGAACAATAGCGTCCCAGCCGCTTTGCTGCACCATCTCCTGCGCCTGCAACACCCCCGCCTCGTTGACGTCCACGCGGATGCTGTGCACCATGAGCCGCTCGACGATGCTGCCATTCAGAGCTGCGGCCACTTCCCCGGAGGGGTTTTGGGTGAAGTTGGCCCAGGGGTTGTAGCCGGTAAGTAGGATGGCGCCGGTGGCGCCGTTCATCCACACCGCCCCCACCAGTGCCTGAAGCGCCTGGATCTTGGCAAGCATGCTCGTTTCTCGCAAGGTGCTGCGATGCTCTACGGCTCGAGGCTCTACGCCTCTACATTATCTACGAGCCGGAAAAGGCAGCGAGGAGGACAGGAGAGCCATGGTGTGCTCTGAGATTCTGATCTGAGGGCCGAACAATTCCCTGTCATTCACTTGCAGCCGTGCGAGAGACCAGGAGGCCTGGGCTGCACCCAGACCAATCCCCTCCCCCTAATTCGAAAAGCCTCCCTAAATACCCCCCATATGCTGCGATATTCGCCTCGTTTCGGCTTCCTGCTGAGAAGCGTCTGGAACAAGCAGACCGGGCCTCCTTCCCCCCCCCCCACCCCCCACCCCTCCCCACCCCCCCACCCACCCCCCACCCCCCCCCACCCCCACCCCCACCCCCACCCCCCCCCACCCCCCCCCCCCCCCCCCTCCCCCCCCCCACCCCCCCCCTCCCCCCAACCCCCCCCCCACCCACCCCCCCCGCACCTCTTTGCGAAACCCTCTTTCCTCCTTTCCTGTCCTGGCCGGCCCGGCTGCCGAGGCGGCGCGCGCAAGCGTTTACAATAACAACGTTGGGGAGTATCTCGTGTAGGGGGGGGTTGACTATCAGGGGGGAGGGGATCAATACAACTGCAGACAACCGCCACTGACCGTCGCACTGCCGGGCTTCGCGCAGTCGCGAGGTTGTACGGCTTGAGCTGTGGGAGCTGGAGGCGGACCCTTGGGCCCCCCGTTTTCCCCAAGAAAGACCGACATGGGGGTTTACTATATACAGGGTACCTTCTTGGGGTCCTCCTACTATTTGGGGGACTATCTTCGGGGTCCCTTATTTTCGTGAACCCGCGTATCTCATTCCAGGCATCTTGCCATGCACAGCATCTCAGCTTGCTGGGGGGCGTAAGGCCCGCGCAGATCCAAGATCGGCCTTGGGACAACGCTAGAGCTACAGGGCAACGGTGGCTACCACTGCGGGGTTAGGCGAGGCTTTGGGGGCATTCTTGCGCGAGGGAGGCGTCCTCCTACCAGAAAAATGATTTCACAGACGTTCTCAATCATCTCGGCCCCAGCCAAAACCGCCCTAACCCCGTCAGGACTCGTTCCTGAGGCGCTGTCCACACATCTCTGGGCGAGCCATCCAGCCTTGCGGCACGCTGCAGCGCGGTAGCGCAGTTGACCTTCCGAATGTGCGGGACGCTAAATGGTTGGTGGGGTTTGGGGTTGGGCTGCACCCGCCATGGGCTGACAAGCTAAAACAGAATGTCGGCGTGACACGGGCTGCCGCTTTGCCAGCGGGTTGGCGAGAGTCTGAGTGCACCACGCTATCAAATTCGCAGCCCCGCAGTTCTACAAATGACACCAGTTCCTGCAGTCAAGGCTCATAGGGCTCAAGGTTTGGCTTACGACTACACGGGCGTCAGGCCGGGGTCCCTTTCACAAACAGTCGCGCCATAAGGTGGGCCTCTGAGCCCTGGAAGGCAACGAAACCTGCTGCTGCTTAAGTAAAGACCTCCAAGGTTAGCAGACTTTTCAGAGGTCGAAGAACAAAATCAAGAAAAGCCCTGCTCACTCCTGGCAGCTCACCTTTGAAACGATCAGCTTGTTAAGGCCTCGGCCACTTCCCGAAGACAAATTCTAGGGCTGTGAGGGCATTTGGGGTTTAGGGCTCTTTCTGCCCTGAGGCTTTCGATGCTGTGCGTCATCCTTGTTCAAGCATACCATCACAGGTCATGGTGCACTCGCATTACTTTCCGTGCCGCAATCATGGTGGCGGAGGTGTGTGGGATGTGTTTCTGGTGACTACTGGCTTATGCTGAGGGGTCGGTTTGAGGAGTTAGGGACGGGTTCAACGCTGCCAATCGGCTCAGGCAGTCGGATTCGGTTTCAAGCGTTCAGTAACAGCGAGGCCTATTCGCTTCTCTCTCAACTCATCCTTGTGGCGACTCAGACAACGGCCAGGAACCAAAATCACGCTGAGCACCACTACTTGTTCAACTGGCCGACTTTAGCACATCCTTCGCCATCCTCAGCCCACAAGAGCAAGACGCACATTGGTTCGATAGCCAGCGGAATGAGACAGGTGGAAGTCAAAGCTCCGAGACCCAGGATTGGCTAGGCCGCAGTCTTCTTCAAATGCGATGTCACAAGCCCAAGAACACAAAGTATGCTAAAACCTCAAAGGAAGGCTTGGTGAGAACTGGTGCCTCGCTAATCCACCGGACTCCTGGAACATCTTTGGGCCCAGAGGGGCGGACAGTTTTTGTCCACCCGGAACAGTACAATTGAAACGACTTGAATTTGTCGAGGGGCACACCTCGCAGTGTGTGCCGTGTGCCATGCGGCTCTAATTCCAGCACTGGTTCCTCTCCCTAATAATACATACCCAGCCAAAAACTCTAAAATACCCACAATGGAAGCATTGTACATACTATCCTGACCAATCCCAGAACCGGATCTCTGCCCTCGACCTCCTACTAGGCCATTTGGCCCATCCGACCCTGCTTCATGCCACCTGTTGCTTGCGGAGCGTTGGGCAACCCACCGCCCATAAATCCGCCTGATGGTGTAAACCTCAAGCAGAAGCACAAACTGCGGTCAGGAGTCAGCGGGATCAGCAACGGTCTGCTTCGCTCATGCGGCCAAGCAACACGGGAGAACCAGGAACAGATCGCGGTCCGGGCGAAAACCCTCCGGGTCCGGGCGAGAACCCTCCGGTGCCTGAAACCATGCCCGGAATGACTGGCTGCTTGGATCCCGGGCCGAGCCCCTGCCCAGCAGCCGTGCGGTTCGGTTGCATCATGGACGGGCCCATGATGACTGGGGCATTGCTGTATGAAACCTTAGTCATACACAATGGGCAACACACAAACGACGGTGTGAGGAGATTAGATTGCCGACAAGCTGCGGGAGGGACTTGCAGCGCCCTGCAAGATGTTGTCCAACTCCTTCTGAATGGCAGACGATTGATTCTGCAACTCTGCAGAAGTTTGGAGGTGGGTCTCTGCCATCATACCTTGGCTTCCAGCGATGCTTGAAAGGCTCGCTGCTGCGTTACATTCGTTGCAGAATGCATGGTTCGACTAATGCACGGTTGTGGCTGGGGCACGATGCTCATCGAGGCTGCCAAAGCCTTCGGCAATTGCACCCTTGCCGCCCTCGAACATCTGCTCCAACCTCGGGCCCACCGTGCATGAAGGCAACCTGTCCAACGTAGCACTGACGAAAACATGGTACCAACCACAAACGGTCACTCAACAGCCAGGCAAGGTACAAGCAGAGCATGACACATCGAAATAAATGCATCCACGATGCAGCTGATGCATTTGCATCTTCACATTATCATTTGCACTGTGTTTCTGGCCAACCTTCGACTAGAGAGGCCGGCTCAAGCCCAAAACAACTCTCGTGGCCAAACCACGCCCCTTCTTCTTGCCTCAGCAGCTTTACCACAAAGGGTCGACGTGTTTCCGGCTATGTTTTCCTTGGTCAAACATGCAGGGGGTTGCAATGGGCATGTGTTCTGGGCGAGGAATTCGTTCGCAGCAAATTATTTTCTCCGTCTGATTGCATGCCCGTCTCCAACATCTGATGGTACTGCTTCTCCTTCGATTGAAATAGCTATAGCCAAAACACGCCAAAACGATTCACCACAGCAACTGCATGCAGCATCATTCCAGCTGCACTAGACTCAAAAATACCAGAATGCAAGAGCAATCCTTGCCGAGCTGGAAAGCCAACAAATCTGCACATCGTGCCAACTCCCCACGATAGCGGACAATGTCCTGAGACCGGAGATCCGATTCTGTCTGCGAAGAACTATGACAATAACACGCCAGCTGAAGAACTAACAAACCCTTGAAGTCGGCATGGCTTGTCCTGCGTCATTTGCAGGACTTCACGCTCGAACTCTCCACAAAGCTGCTCCACTATTTGCATGCAAAAACTGCCTCGGCTCTTTCGCATGAGAAACAAGCTGCTGTGCATCAACCAGTCATGAAATAAACCAACTCAACGAGCAGCGAAAAGCATTGACCTTCGGAGCATGATCCGGCTGCCTCGGTTGCAATTGCAGGCACCACCAAACTGAAGCGTGCGGAGCCCCCACTTCGGAAAACCTTAAAATAATCAAAAAAAGGCCTTTGTGCCGGCCAGCTGCTGTTGATTCATGTCTGTGGCCAACCGTCAACTTTTATCCAGCAAACAACACGACACGAAACAAAATGGCTGCAAGGGACAACCAACAACGTCTCTAAACTAGTGTCATTTGGTCAGCTACTAGCAATACACAACAAAGTGCAGAGGCTCGAGTAAGCCCGGGACTGACGCTGAGTGGTGAGCGTTCCTCCTTCTTCGAATTACCATCACATGCTCGAAGAATGATTACTGGGCCGCTCACCAACCAACTTTGCAATCAGGCCTGTGGTCGGTCCACTTATCTCCTGCCGCTGCCCGAACATGCAGTTGCCCTTTGAATTCATGCCGTGAATCTTTGCACGGATGGGTGAATGCATCTCCTGTCCTTTCCCCTCCTTGTCGGCCTTGCAACACCACATGCCGGGAAACATAAGGTCTTACTTGCCACTCCTACGACGTCCATGGCATATCCTGATGCAAAGCAAACACAGCCTGCTTCAATGCGCGACTAGTTTACGGAACAAACATCATGGACTCGCCGAAGCACTAGTCCGTCGGCCGCCTCCATAAAAGGAGTCGCTTCGAAGACTTTGAATCACCGACCTACAGTAGACAGGCTTCGACACTCGGAATTGCCCGACAACCATGTGCTGGAGTGGGGCCATAATGTGGGGCAGAAATGGCCTGAAGCCGACGCTTCATTGAAGCTGCATTGCAGTTGGCGACGTTATACGTTGCACATCTTGTCCGACGTCGCATTGCCGGTTTTTTTCTGCATGCTGCTGATGCTGACGTTTTGTGAGGCCGCGTTGGGTCCTGACGTCGCCTTCGTGCCACCGGGCATTCATGCCTTACGCTGCATGATGAGCCGCATTCGCCCC